TGACTTCCTCGAAGACTACTACTTGGCCCTGTTCTGATTCTGGAGGCCACTACTTTAAACAACAGTCGGAAGCATGCCGTTCAACCCGTTTTAGTTACAGAGCCTGTCCCGACTTCGTGAATGGGGTTGCGACGCAAATTGGATAGGTTTGAGATTGTGTGTTGTCATTTGTTCCTACTGGACGTGGCGTGTGGTTCGTGAACTTGTCCCTGCATCTGATTGGGGTTGCGACGCAAACTGGATAGGTTTGAGTTTGTGTGCTGTCATTTGTTCCTACTGGACGTGGCGTGTGGTTCGTGAACTTGTCCCTGCATCTGACTGGGGCTGCGACGCAAATTGGATAGGTTTGAGTTTGTGTGGTGTCATCGTGGCCGGATGTCGCCAGCAGCTTATTCCTACTGGACGAGGGCGTGTGGTTCGTGAACTTTTCCCTGCATCTGATTGGGGTTGCGACGCAAATGGGATAGGCTTGAGTTTGTGTGGTGTCAAAATGGCATCAACAGCAGCTTGTTCTCACTGGACGTGGCGTGTGGTTGGTGAACTTTTCCCTGCATCTGATTGGGGTTGCGAAGCAAACTTGGAGAGGTCTGCGTTTGTGTGTTGTCATAATGGGCGGATGTCAACAGCAGCTTGTTCCTGCTGGACGTGGCGTGCGGCCTTGTTCAGCTGCGAGCAGTGGGTCTTCTACCTTAGCCTTCCGGTGCGTTCTATGGTTTGATTGCAGTACGCCAGTTGTTGATTGCAAGACGCCATTGTATTCGCGTTGAGCATCCGAAAACAGTACTCAGTACACAACCATATACACATTGAAACCGCCCGAACCCGTCACACATACGCATCCTGGATTAGGACCTCCGATGCTGAGCGCTTTAACATATCCCAAATGGTCCAAACGACCCAACACTGTGGTACTGGGGTGTATGATAGTAGTTGTGTAGGTAACTGTTGAAGAGTATATGATAGTTAGGTACTTGGACCCCTGAGGGTATCAGTCTCAGAATGTGCCCACAGTCACACCTGTCTTCTTTGATCTGTTTCTCTTTATATCTCCACCTGCCTGCTGATCTATCCAGCATTTTAGGCAGATACCTATCTACCTGTGGTCACTGCTGTACTATAATTACACATCATACTGCGTGCCTAGCTGTCTTACTCGTGGATCTGTCTGTGTGTTGGTGCCAAAGAACCGCATACTTCAACGATGCATCATTGCCTAAACTGCCTTATCTGGCTTAAACCATGAGCCGCGACCCTGCTAACCCTGCACAATCCTAACACTTCGGGTACTGCCCCCATACATTAACAGTCTGTAATAGGCCAACTGTTAAGGGCATGTTCTATCTCTCTCTCTATATATATATATATATATACAGACTGCAAGTAGTATTCAATTTATTCCCTTACTGTGTGGGGGCGGTACCTATACTATAGCAGCAGATCAAGAGACTGCCTTGTGGACCACGGCCTTCATGGCCATTGGCATGAAGGCCTTCAAGATTTGAGGCCAAAACGGGGGTTTAAGATTCTTGGGGTAGGGATTCCTTAATATGAACTCTTTTTTTGTGGAAACCCTGACCCCTACTAAACCCCATAGGCTAAAACCCCTGTTTGGCCTCCTATGATTCAAGCGCAGGACAATCCCACTGTAGTCCTGAGGAGTCCATGAGCTAAAGCGTCCTACGGTTGATGAAATATACCCTGCACTACCATAATGACCCTAGACTTTGGGCATTCTGGTGATTATATTCCGTGTTATGGGTACTGCAGGTTTTTCATATTATCGACCGTACGTACTGTTGTGGGGGATACTTCAGTAGTGATTCCGAATATACAAGCCCTACATTCTGCTATGTAGGTACTTGTCAACCCTTTGGGATGGTATGGCGGTAGAAGCCCCCGAAAGCATCATACACATTTTGCATGGGATGTCGGGCGATGCTGACCCTTATATCTAGACAGGCAGACAGACAAACAGACAAACCTTCCTCTGTTTTCTTACGTAGACTTCGGAGGACAGGATCTATACCACCGTCTATACCGCGCCATGCCCCCTAAACCCTAAACAACCCTTGAACCTGAACGCTGAACCAGAACCCGTAATGGCCCTAAACTAAACCTCAGACCCGAAATAGAGTTTTGGCATATACTATACGATAGGCAAATAAAGGAAGTCTTGTAACGAGGAGTCATGTACAAAATACGTAATATGTCAGGACCCTCTATATCTCTATTGCCCCTACCATGACGATAAGGCCACGGCCAAAGCGCTTGGGGAGGTGTCGGGTTTTTGTACGGGAAGGCCCTTCCGAAATCTGTAGGATTTAGGAAGAAGGAGAGAGCAGGAAACCTTAGAAGCACCCTGAATCTGCAACCCAACCATCCCAAAACAGAAACTCCTACGGCCCTAAAGACTAGACCCAAGAGTAACCTAGGAATAAAAAGGGTGCCCTTTTTGGGTTTTAAGGGGGTTATAAGGGAACCTGAACCCTTAAAAAGGGAACAAGGGCTTACTCTGGGTCCGAGAAGACCATAAACCCTATGGAACCACAAGCGAAGCCAGAGACGGCTTTGTCAATGCGGCTGCACCTGGCACATCCGTTCAGGTGTTACTTGGGGGATCATGGGACTTAGGGTTCAGGGTTTTAGGGATTAGGGATTTAGGGTTTAGGGTTTAGCTTAGAAAAGCACAGTTATCGGTGCTTTAGCTGGGGATACTACAAGTTGTAAGTCTAGTGACCTTATGTGTTCTCAAGTCCCATGACCCTCCAAGTGGGACTCGTGGCTTTTGCGCAGGGGTCTACCCTAAGCCCTAAACCGTACTCTGGCATAAACCCATAGCGCTTATCTGCCCTTGAAAACATCAGGTCCTTACTTGGAGGTTCATGGGTAGTTATAAGTGGAGTTATAAGTAAGGTAACTATAGTAAGCCCTTTCAGGGGACTTATAACTCCACTTATAACTACCCATGAACCTCCAAGTAAGGTTTATGGGGTATTCGTTGAGGCTCAAGCCTTCCCTCACAACCCTCTACGTTCCCTACGGCTCCCAAGTATTCAGGGTTCCTTTCAGAGTTGATTCAAGTGTAGTCCTGGATGTGTTCACCATAAATGATTGAGGTATAAGGGTCAATGTACGAATGAATTGTCTACTTGAGCTAGATTTACAGGAGCGCACTACATAAGTCAACGTATATAGTAGATAAGTACATGGAACCTTAAGGGTTTCCGAAGCCTTCAACCGAAGAAGCCTGCACCCTCAAACGCCGACCCGTCAGGGGAGCCATAAAGGAGCCCTTTAAAGGGGAAACCCCGTATTACCCTTAAGGGAAACCCTGTTATAGAACTCTTATGGCACCCTTAATCCCTAAACCCTCAACCCTAAACCCTTTAAAGGACGCCCTTAGGGTTCCATAGAGGAAGTCATCGGTGTTCGATCCCAGGGCCCAAAACAAGCGATGAAGCTTGAAAGCTTCCTGTACAGTGAACCCCAGAAAGTTGGAACATGAGTTTGGGATGATTAGTGCTAGGATTCCCTCTACCTTGCCTTACGGGAATGAGGATAATGATGTTCCAACTTTCTGGCGTCTACTGTAAAGGTTCCGTTCTCTGCGGGGCTCCTTTAAAGGGATCGCGTTTAAGGGTACTACAAGGGTTTAGGGGGTTTAGGTTACTGCAAGGGGTTCGGGGTTCAGGATACTACAAGGGTACTACACGGGTTAAGGGGTTTAGTGCATTACAAGGGTCTACAGGTTCAGGGTTTGGATTTAGTGTCTAGGACTGTAGACTGTAGAGTTGATGATGAATACCATCCTTTTCTTTCAGTTCATCATACCTGTATCCCTATCAACATATGATTTACGGTGCGAGCTCGTATAATCAGGCATCAACAGTGAGGAGTTTAGGCTGGTGTTTGAGCTTGGTTCTCGGTTTGAAGTCTGGTGTTGGATATGCCGTGAACTTGAAGATCAGAACCAACAAAAGCTGGGCTCGGGGGTGAAATATGGGGGTTTCCGAAAATTGGGGGTACCTTAGTTGGGGTGGCCTTATAAGCATCCTACTATGTAGGGGTACTATATTAGGGTCCCCTATTCTCGGAAACTCCCATATAGGGGCCTCCACGAAAGACCAAGGTTGCGGGATCTAGTCTAGTCTCCTTGTATAGGGACGGCGAAGGGTGATATCTCCCTGTATCATTCAAACCTGCAAGATACCAGATAGCAACCTCAAGTGCCCGCGCCGCACTTTTCCTTCACGGGTGCAGCAGGGCCAATTGAACTGGCCGTTCAGAAGAGAGTCATACCTTGTTTAAGTGTCTTCGTCATGAGGATCCTGCCGTGAGCCGTTAGCCGATACTACCCTAGACATTAGGTGCCGTATTATAATAAGGACAAAAAAAGGGACCCTAATTTTGACAACCACCCAAATTGCAGGTCTGCCGGAGATCCACTACTGAAATCACTGCCTCGATCGACCTATCGCTGTAGGAGTCGTAGCCACCAGCACAACTACTGCTTCTGCTGCTGCCGCTTCTGTTTCATTCTACTACGGCTGCGGCTACTACTACTACTACTACTACTACAACGACTACTACTACTACTACTACTACAACTACAACTACTACTCCTACTCCTACTCCTACTCCTACTCCTACTCCTACTCCTGCTCCTACTCCTACTCCTACTCCTACTGCTACTGCTGCTGCTACTGCTACTGCTACTGCTACTGCTACTGCTACTGCTACTGCTACTGCTACTGCTACTGCTACTGCTACTGCTACTGCTACTGCTACTGCTACTGCTACTGCTACTGCTACTGCTGCTGCTGCTGCTGCTGCTACTGCTACTGCTACTGCTGCTACTGCTACTGCTACTGCTACTGCTACTGCTACTGCTACTGCTACTGCTACTGCTACTGCTACTGCTGCTGCTGCTGCTGCTACTACTACTACTACTACTACTACTACTACTACTGCTACTGCTACGAGGACGACACCTACCAGCACTACCTCTGCAACGGCCATCTGAAGACCTGGACATTGTTCGACCCGGTCTGGAAGTGAAGATTGCTCCTCGGTTACGGTTCAAGGTGTAGAGTCGTTTCGGGTTAGGCTTCAGGGTTTTGGCTTTGTTTGGCCGAATCATGGTTCCGGTTTTGGGGCTCAATATAAGGGCCTGAAAAATCAGAATAGCGCAGCTCCGGTCCGTTATTGAGCACTTAGTCTGAGACTTCGAGGACTGAAGGCTTCACTGCGAGTAACCAAACATCATGACATGATGTCACATTGTGATGAAGGCCTTCACAAATAGAATCGGCTATCGGGGTATGTGGGAGTTTCCGAAAATTAGGGTACCTTATTTTGGGTTCTGTATAAGAAGGATCCTACTATTTAGGGTACACGTTAGGGTTCCCTATTTTCGGAAACTGCCATGTTCATCTACTGTGCTTCTAATCCCAAATGGTCCCAAGGTACCTATACAGAAAACCTACCATGAGTTGGGGGAAGTATCCCCCAGAACAAGACCTAGGACTGTTTGGGAATAGGACAGTTACTAATTATCATATACTCTCCGAAACTCTCCAATATGGTAACCATTCATATCTACTACCTATTTCTGGGGTCCTGGAGCCATATGCATGAATCACACGTTTTCGCCCTTCAAACCCCCACACGTACCTTGAGATCCCAATACCCCTTAATTAAGGAATACGATGAAGCCCCCTATAGTTTAAGTTATATTCCTTAATTCCCTTGTAGAACCCTTATAGATCCCTAATAGATCCCTTGTTGTGGAACCCTTTGAGAAATTTCGTGAAGGGGTATTGGGATCTCTAGACTCTGGGTACTGCAACCAGGTTGCAAGTGTGCCATACTCGAGCCCATGGTCCTGGGAATCGCTGCCTCATGCGCAAACCGCAGGTTGGGCATCCTATACCTACCCTAAGGGTCCAGGTATCTCCTTAAGAGGGTCCGGAATCTCCTAGGGAGAGCCCCTGGCTCTCTTTTGGGTCTCAGAAATCCTACATTCTGAGGTTCCCTGAAGTGTTAGGACCCTTAGCGTAAACCCTTGAAACATGCCTAGACCCTCAACCAGCCCTGAATCCGAAACCCTAAGCACTAAACATCCTGATCCCTATAACCACGAATCCTAAACCTTGTAACCCTAAGCACATGAATCGAATTCCTAAACCGTAAACCCTCAAACCCTGAGACGCAAACCACATAGATCTCTTAAAAAGGACCCCCTAAGGATCCCTTCAAAGTACCCGCCCTGAACCCTAAACCCCAAGCCATGCCTTGCCTTGCCCGCAATGGCCACGTAGAAATTGGCCGGGTCCATGGCCTGCGCATTCTGTGCGACGCACGCAGCCCATTGGTTGAAGTCCTCAGCTGAAAGTTTCCGTTTAGGGCGTAGGGCTTAGCGTTTAGGGCCTCGGTGGCTGAAAGTTTGTGAGACTCTTCTGTCGGTCAAGCGCGTGTTTCGAGTGAGGCGGCCCCAAACCTTTGAAACCTCAACCAGAATCTTCTGATATTGCAGGCTTCGGGTGTTGCGGGTTCAATCAGACTCTTTAATTACCCGATGATTGGCTGCCGCTCCTCGCGCTGCAAACACAAGCACAACCCTCAACCCTAAGCCCTAAACAGCTTACGGTAGAAGCCAGAAAGTTGGAACATCATTAACCTCATTCCCTCAAGGTAAGGTAGAGGGAATCCTAGCACTGATCATCCTAAACTCACGTTCCAACTTTCTGGGGTTCACTATAAACATACAAAATCAACGCTTGATTCGCCCCTGATTGTTCTGACTTAGCCCCAGAGACCCCTTGCACCAATAGTGGGGGGATTCCCTCTACTTTACATTAAAGGTATGGGGATAATGATGTTCCAACTTTATGGCTTCTACTGTAATATATGTGCCTTCCTTAATATTTAGAATAGGGTTTTGGGCCCCATATGGCCCCATTATGCTATAAATATGAGAAGGAACACCCCAAAATAGTAGGCACCATAATACCCCCTTTAACGGAACCCTTACAGAATTATTTAGGCCCCTGAAGTAAGGGTCCTTTAAGCAGAAGAGAAGCAGTGAGACCGGCAGATAGTATGAGGTCCTGCCTTGTGATTATTATGGGAGTTTCCGACAACAGGGGACCCTAATATGGCACCCTAAATGGCAGAATCCATATTATGAGGCCGAAAAAGGTAGCCCTCATTTCCGGAAACTCCAAGATGCATGCATACCACAGCCACAAAGCTCCGAGCATTTAGCAATCTTTTATTCCCGAAAATGCTAACCTACATTACGACTAGACTAAACCCAATCACCTACTTGCTGCATCGGTTGGACTCCTGTGTTCAGAAACCCACTGGAAACAAACTTATACGTGTTTGGGTTGGTTAGATTATAATAGGAACCCAAAGCAACTGAAATCCCAACCCGTCAATTTTATCCCATAACCCCAAGCCGCTAAGCCCTGAGCCCTAATCTCTACCCGTATCCCCAAACCCTACAAAATTGTAGGTTATGACCCCTTAATCAGGGGATATAACCCTTAAAACAGTAGGTTATTGGATCCCCAGGTATCCCCTGAACCCTACGCGCGAACAAGCTGCAGGTTTGGAGCCGCACTCGTGAACAAATTGAGGGATCAGCCCGACCATCCTCTCGTCGAAGCCTCTTTAAGGGATCCATACGAAAGGGTGCAGGGTTAACCGAAAGGGTTACTATGAGTCTTAACCTGGACTTCACAAGGCTTCACATTTTTCCAAACTATTTCTTTACGGGCCTACTGTTAGTACTTTTTTTGCTGAGTGCTTTGGGAGAGCATCACAGGATTGTGGTGTACTTGGACCGGTCCGGTTGAGGTGCAGAGTTCCGGCATTTTAGGGTTCGGGGCATGTGGGTAGTTGTCAAAATTATGGTCCCTTTTTGGGTCCTTGTTATGATACGGCACCTAATATTTGTACCCAGAAAGGGACCCTAATTTTGACAACTACCCATGTGGGTTTAGGGTTTACATAATAGTCATCACTATCATTGGCTGTGGAGCCTGCAGATTTAAGCCCTTGTGCTGCCCTATAGGGCAGCACAAGGGCTTAAATCTGCAGGCTCCACAGCCAATGATAGTGATGACTATTATGGTGATGATGACGAAGATGGTGGTCATGATCCGAACCCGTGGCTCGATCCTATAAGCCAAACTCAGGACCCTTACTTCAACAACCTTGTAGCAGAAAAACACCGACCTAAAACTCGCCGCCCCTGTCAACCAGTAAGGCCCTCTACCTTTCTTTTTTGGGCGGAGGGTCGGGGTGGGGGGGGGAAGGTGCGTTCTTTCCGTGGCGTTACAGGCTTGCGGAGTGTTGCCTTCCGGGTCTAGAGTGTCTAGGAACCAGGCTTCTAGGCAAAGCCAAAATACCCAAACCCGTATATAAACCCTGAGCCCAAGTCACTAACCCGGCCGCCAAACCACCCTGCCGTAATCTGAGTCTATGCCAGATGTTGACGTGAAGACGACGAGGGGGTCGGTGATAAGTTGCAAAATCCTACACGAAGTCGCCTAAGCCAACCGAAATCCCGGAAAGAGCACCACACCACTCCTCTCCCCAAACCACTGCCCAAAATCCTGAACCCAAACCTGCGAACCCGCAGGGCCTACATTTGCCACCAAATTCACTCCTCTTGTGGCTGTCAAATCGGAGATCTCCTGATCTAGGCTTAGATTCTGAGCATGGGGGTTTAGAGCCCGTTGCATCTTGCTCTTGAGGTTTTCGAATCTTGCATTTGGGGTTTAATGCTGTGGAATGTAGGAGTCGGGGTGTGCGTAGATTTTGCGTGGCCCTGGGTCATTTGGAGGTGCCTGGGTAGTTATAAGTGGAGCTATAAGCAGGGTAACTATAGTCATAACCCAGATTAGCGGACTTATAACTGCACTTCTAACTACCTATGAACCTCCAAGCATGGTTTAGGGTGTTATTTGGTTACTTTGCTAAACCCAAACCCGGGATATGCTTTCTATGCTTCAGGGTCTTAGGGTTTTGGGGATAAGCATCTCATTAGGGCTTGCGGGCTTCAGAATTCAGAGTCAAGGTTCAAAAATCGCGGTCTGTCGGGCGCGCGTGCGAGAGAGAGAGAGAGAGAAAGTAAGTCAGTAAGTAAGTAAGTATACATATATATATATATGTATGTATGTATGTATATGTGTGTGTGAGGTGTGTCTCTGTGTGTCTCTGTGTGTGTGTGTCTGTATGTGTGTGTGTGTGCGCCATGATGTTTTATGTGTAGTTCGTGGCCTGCCTATGGATCTATCAGGAGTAGTGATCTGCAGAATTTGTGCTGGTTTTCGCAGGATCCATGATTCACTGATTCAGGGCGTAATGGTAGGACCACCCTGCAAAGCACAGTACAAATGAACGGAGGGTGCAGGATTTACCTACGCTCTCCATTGTAGTTCCCTTTTTCTCGTTTCACCAATTCTACAGTAGAAGCCCAAAAGTTGGAAACCCAATAGCCTCGATCCTTAAGAGAAATGTAGAGGGAATCCCGGCACTATTTGGCCTTAATCCGGTTTCCAACTATATGGAGATTACTGTATAAGCAGGGTATTAATGAGGTAACCCCGAAAAGGAACTACAATGGAGACTATAGGTAGGGGTCTGTAGGGCTAAGGTTTTTTGATTCAGAAACGCAATGCCTTCAATTCAAACCATTGGACCATCGGCCGCGCAAGAAGATTTTTACGGGTCCATGTACCCAAATAGAAAATACTTTATCCTTAAAGTAGTCCATGTATAGGTACTTTGGGCCCAAAGTATGTACTACTTGGCATTACGGCTTTGGATTTTCGATGCTTGACCCTAGGGCTCAAATCACTTAGATAGTAGGTAGTAGATTACTGTACTAGCTATATACTTATTCTATACGGTTTAGGGTTTCGGGCTTCGGGTAGGGTTTAGGGATTATATCAGATACCCCAGTAACCTACTATATAGGTAACTGGAGCCCAAAAAGTACGGCATTCCCGACCTGAACCTTTTTTGTGGCCTGCATGATGATCGCCTTTTCTGTGAACACCGTAGCTTTACTTACCTTGGGTTAGTAAGGAATGGTAGGGTTCCCTTCAAGGGGGTCTATAAGAGTTACTATAAGGGATCTTTGCTTACCTTTGGTTAGTAGGGAATGGAGGAATGGCGTGCGATTTTAACTACTATTGCTACCATTCTTCCATTCCCTACTAACCAAAAGTAGCTTTTCCCGGGCTAGAGGTAGACCTGCAGAACCAATTTGACTCAATATTTCCCTTCAGGGTCCAAGTACCTTATCACTATCAATATACTCTCCAAACTAGTAACCTACATAACCTAGGATGCCCAGCAACCTAGGAATACAAAGGGCTCCCTTTTTGGTACACAAGGGACTGCCATGGGGCCTGGGTTTTTGCACACCCAGTGTTTTGCACTTTTTGCACTACTTGTTCGGTACTTGTCGTTCAGGGTTGCTTTGCATGCTTCGGAAGGCGCTCTGGACCCCTGGAAGTCCTGCAAGCCGTAGTTACAAGAAAAACCACAGATTTCCGCACTGGTTGGAATCCTTCAGACTAGTGCGGAAATCTTTGTGTTGTTTGGTTTGCTTGTGTTGTTGTTTTTTTGGTTTCCGCCACGGCTGACGTGCCCGGACAACCTTCCGCGGTGGCTGTTCTTTTGGGTGTTGGGTCTACTTAAACAAAACTACTGGCCAATCTATCTTATGTTATATTTATAAGCAGTCCGTCTGCTTATGATTCTATGCAGGCTTTCTGCTTATAAGCAATCCGGCTGCTTATAAGCTGGCTGTCTGCTTATGAGCAATCCGGCTGCTTTTAAGCAGGCTGTCTGCTTACAAGCAGTCCGGTTGCCTACAAGCAGGCCTTCTGCTTATTAGCCCTGTTTCTGCTTATAAGCAATATCCTGTTGTTTACAGGCACTCGGGGGCCGCATGAGTAGCTGTTCTAGCCCCACCCACGCGTGCGCCAGACACCAACCAAGACGGAGAACACGAGAACCCGCACCAATTGGGCAAGCATTACTGTAAATTTGATTTGATATCCTGACCTGTTGCATGTTTGATGGAAGAACATGCCAAGCTTATCTAGCATACCACACGACCTGAATTTGTTTGTATTTCCGGTTTCTGTTGAGTATGCAATTCATGATTTGCGGGGGGGTGCGTATGAACGCCTTTCCTTGTTTATGAACACAGACTTGTTTAGAAGAAGTGAGCATCTTATAGAAACACTGTGTGTGCATGTAAACCATTGGGATCTATCAAAGGGAATCGCGAGGATGGAAGGCATCCAGATGGGCCTTGACCATATCTTTTGAACACGTGTCGGGTTTGTATACTACGTCATATCCTGCCGCACCATGTCATAGAATATATGCCAAGTGCTCTAGAAAGCCCGTTCTACACATGGAGGTTACCATTTTATACACACAAATATTGCAAACATACATGTAGATATGTTATCTGACCATCTTCTATCTATCCATCTGCCTATCCATGAATCTATCCATCTCCATCCATCTGTACATTCATATACATACTGGTCTCAGCATGGATGATGTCACCGACCTCTTAACCTGGCAACTTACAGATGTTGTAAAACCCTGATACAATCTATGACAGGATATGTTATGGCACCGCACAATAGACAAAGCACGCGTGTATAGTGTATATGTTTTCGCCGATTTGCAGAAATACCGCCTTGCCACGGTCACATTAGCTGTGCGTTGTGGGGCCCATTATAGCAAGTCATTGAGTAATGCGGCTGTACTGAGATATTGCAAAAAGATTGAACTGAGTACTCACACGCCACAGCCTTCAACGAGTCAAGACCTAGGGGAATCAGAACACGGAAAGTCGGCTCTGCACCCGAGAGTGCCGGGTGTTAAAGTTGTAGAATAAGCTGGAACGATGTATGAATTAGAAGCTGCCCCGACCCTGTAATAGTGACTATAAGGATTATATTCGGCCTCTATTATATTCCTATTATACCACTATTACAAGGTGGGGGCAGCTTCTAATGTATGAAGTAGTTACTCATGTTTAACATTTCCTTTCACTTCGCTTACAAGCGCCGGCGTATCTGCCGTGCACTTCGTATTGTGGCAGTAGAGCGTACCAAGGTAGGTGCAAACACAGAAGCAGTGCATGCATAGGCTTGTGAGTGTATGTATCCCTGTATGAGTAAGCGAAGGCATGCCAAGTTTTCTGTGTGCATCGTTAGTTACAGCGCCACAAAACCAGATGTGTATAATATATGTGTTCCCCTACTGGCAGAAATATATACAGTTTTACGATAGTCATTGGGGTTGCGGATTGGTCTGAGACGCCACATAATCAAGTCGTGCTGACATACTGAAATACTACAATACAGACTCAACTGCGTAGTACTCTCGCAAACACACAGACCTTCAGCACAGAGTCAGGACATCAGGGAATCAGAACACGGCAAGTCGGCTCTGCACCTTAGACTACCGGGTGTTAACGTGGCAGGTTAAAACGATGAGGCAACTACTTAAATGATTATTTCATTTCGCTTGGAAGCGGCTTAGTGGATTTTGGTGGTAGGGCATTCCACGGTAATGCAAATATATACAAAATCACATGTACGGGCTTTTGAGTGTATGCTTGCGTGCATGTGTATCTGTAAGAATAAACATGCCTGCGCATTCACGTATATACATGCACATACGTACTGCATATTGCTACACTTTTGTGAACAGTAGCATGCGTAAATGCATGTGCGCATAGCACAATTCTATATGAGACCAAGAAACACAGTACTCAAAAAACCCAGGCCCCATGGCAGGCCGCTCTCCGGAGGTATTGGGTAACTTTACAGGGAACCTAGGGCTACAAAAAGGGAATAGGGGTAGTACTGGGCATCCTAAACCTCTAACCCTTCCGATATGACCTTCGAGGTCGCTCTCCTGAATGGCATCTTCCAAATGCTCCTCGGACTTTGCAGCGTCCTTAGAAGCTGCTGAGGACTTAAGCCATGGACCTACCTTTAGCCGAACAGGCCTACCTTTTCAGGGTTTTTCAGTATGGGTTCTGTTGATATTTCCTTAAGGACCTACCTTTACCTTTGTAGGAATCCTTATTATGGTTTCTGTTTATGTTTCCTGAAGAAGGTAGGTCTTTTGGGGCCGCCGTTACAGCTGAGGACATCCACAAATCTACGTAAGCCTTTGTACTGAAAAGCGTGGTTTAGGGGTTATGGGATGCTTATAGGGGCCTTGATCCGAACATCATAGGCAGGAACAGGCATTGGAGGGTTCAGGGGGTTGAAGGTGTTCTACTTACGGCCCAAGGGGCTTTTAGATGTATAGGCCCAGGCCTGCATCTCGGACACCCATCCTAGAGAAATAACTATCAATTCGTAACCCTGAATCCCAAGCAGAAATCAGCGGTTTACCTAGACCCCGCAACTACCCTCTAATAGAATATGCCCTAAACACCCACTATTCAGGACCATGGGGTGGGCATTTGGGGGACCATGGCCAAAAACACCCCTCCAAAGAGTTTCGGGTTCGGGGCCCTCTGGGAGTTTAGGGTTTACCTGGACCCTACAACACCTTCCTTTAGGGTTTAGAGTTCAGGGGTTTAGGGTTTAGGCTGCCTTAGTAATGACTTCCATATATATAAATCCTGAAAAAGGTACGTTATGTGGGATTAAGTTTGGGTTGGCAACGGCTCTGAGCAATCTGATTTCCAGGTCTTCGTGCATATTGCGAGATCAGGAAAATTCTCCACTGCCTGAGGTTGCAAGTGGTAGCGCCAGTGTGGTACCCAGTCTGAATGATGCCCAAAAGAAGTAAAAGTCCAAGTCATCAAGCTCAACACAAACTCTAAACATCCCAATTCACAAAGCTTTCCGCTTAAGGTTTATAAGGGTTTAAGCTTCTATTGAGTTTCGAAACTTGAAACTGAGCACTGGCGGTAAAACCCGAACCCCCAATCTCAACTCCTTGGCTCTCTTGACGGAAGAAAGGAAGTACCCTGAGAGCCCACGAAGCTTCCAAAGTACGCTTTTTTTTACCTGGTATTCGGGCTACCCAGAGGCTCCAGAGTAGTTCCTTTTTGGGGTTCATAAGTAGAATCCTATAAGGTAATCCCAAAAAGGAACTACTATGGAGCCGATGGGTATTTGGCATTAGTGTGGTATGCAATGAAGGGGTATGGTAGTATGAAAGAGCCTAATAAGCCCGAATAGGGGGCTACGGCCTGCCTCTGAACGTCAAACCCCGACGGTGCAAGTGCCGACTCTTAAATATTTTTGACCTACGTAACAATTTTCAGGTTTAGGGTTTACCTTAACCCTGAATAACCTACATTTCTAGGGTTCCTTATTATGAGTTCTTTAATACGAGTCCTTAAAAAGGTAGGTTCTTCTGGGTTAAGGTAGGGTATTAGGGTTATTTTCCTGCACCCGAGTACCTAATCATCGGATCCCTGTGGACTCCTAAACACCCTACTACCCTCAGGGTCCAGGTATCTCCTTAGGAGGGTCCGGCATCTCCTAGGGAGAGCCCTTGGGTCTCTTTGGGGTCTCAGAAATCCTACATTTTGAGGTTCCCTGAAGTGTTAGGACCCTGAGGGTGCAGAATCCTCTCAACCCCTTCGGGTTTGGGGTTAGGCTCCCAAAGGGTCCAAAGTACCTATATAGTAGAATGTAGGGTTTCTATATTATGAATACCATAGAATCCTCTCAACCAGTTTTAGATCGCCTTAAAGGAAGCCGAATTATTGGATCCTTTGGGGCCCTTCGTGAAACCCTAATCTCGGGCTCCAAAATAGGCCCAAGGGCCTTTTACGGTGTAGTCTTTCGGCCCGAACGCTACCCCAACATTTTAATCCTCGCGCCTTAGGGTCGGGGCTTAGGGAGTAGGGTTTGGGGTGTGGGGTTGATAGTGCAGGGTGCAGGGTTTCGTTGCTTTGTTTTTTTCGGTTTCGGGTTTAGGGTGTAGGGGTTTGGGATGGGAAGGATTTCGGGGGGGGGGGGGGGGTTGAAGTTTCGGTGTTGGGCCCTACCCTGGAGCCCTATATGTCAAAGGTAATTTATGACATGTCAAAAACTTGCTGATATATTGCTTTCGCGTTGCTGTTTAGAGCTGAGGGTTTAGGAGTTGAGCGCTGAACCCCATATTAACTAGGAAAACACAAACGCTAAATCCTGAAGTTCAAAACCCTTTGTAATTCATGCAAGAGTCGTCGCGCAGGGCCGATGAAGGCACAAGCAGCAGAGCAACAAGAACCTATTCTTGCATTTTCTTGATGGGGCCCTACATGAGTTTACGATAACACAGATTTCGTGGAGTCTTTATCTAGGATACCCAGTAACCTAAGAATAAAAAGGCCTGTCTTTTTGGTATTGGGTAACTTTATAAGGAACCTAGGACTCAAAAAGGGAATAAGGGTGCTACTGGGCATCCTAGTTATAGTGCAATGGACTTGTGTCAGGGTTTGGGGTAGGCGAATGTTCATGGGTGCGGGTCCAGGCATCCAGAAAGTAGTTCCTTGATATAAGTAGCCTCTGGTAGTATAGCGTCGTAAAGTAGGGCCACGGCTTTTTCTATCCTCCCGGGGATCTGGGCCGGAAACCCTGGCGACGTAGCTTTTCGGGAACTCAGAGGGGCTCCTTTAGCTGGAGAGCTGCACATGCCTTCGACGCTGCAGCTACGGGTTCTACCCAGGGGGTCCAGATACCCAAATAGTACTTGGAGGGGCACGGGACTGAGTAAGTGGGTTATATGTAGAGTTATAAGTACCCTAAATGGAGTTACCGCGATTATAACCCTACTTATAAACGACGTACCAAGTCCCCTGCCCCTCCAAGTAGGGTTTCAGGGTTTAAAGGGTTTGAAGGTCCGATTCGGGACCTAAAACCCTCCGTACCTATTGCCACTTGGACCCTTACCCTTAGGCTCTAAGGACTCGTTTTTTGAAGCTTTTGGGGCCCAAAGACCATACTATATTGGGCTATTTTGAGCCTTAGGGTTACCCAAAGGGTCCAAAGTACCAATATAGTAGAATGTAGGGTTCCTATATTAGGAATTACTATTATGATTTGGGGAAGTAGTCCCCATAGCAGTACCTAGGACCCTTAGGGTTAGGACAACCTTCAAACTTCGTCAGAGATGCCTGGGTCGCGGAGCGAAGCATGGCTAAGAAATGGAAGCAAGCAACGGAACCAGCGATGAAAGATCGGCTATCAATGCTTGGGCCAAAGAGGCCACGAGCCGAAGCCCGATCACACGAGGGAATTAATTAGGGTTCAGGGTTTCTTCAAGGGTTCCAACCGAATTTAGGCTTTACGGATTCAGGATGAAAGCTTCAGGATGTAAGGTCTCAGCATGGTTATGATATTACCTAGACTGAACTGTAGTACATTTTCCTGGACAATCTGCGATAGGAAGCTACGAGCCTGCGTTAGGAAACCATGCAAACCAACAATAAAGTGCGACAATCCAGACTCGAAGGGTCCCAGCACTTATTATCATATCGTCCCCCAAAGCATACCTAAAGCCCCTAAACCCTAAAGCCCTAAACCCTAAACCCGTAGGAACCGTCTGCACCAAACTTGCCGGAAGAACCTCGAGCTCCACGACGTCGCAGCAGGGTCGGCTCTCGCCTTGCCCTTGCCCTAGAAGCCCAAATAAGATACCCAGAGGGTCCAAGTACCCCCTATTTTAATACTTTGGGGCCGTTTTAGGTATCAAAAACCATAAATAAGGACTACGTGGACCCTTAGGGATAGGGACCTAAATATTTGATGGACTTGGCAACTAGCTTTACTACATACGTGCCCAAATGGTAGGCGGAGGGCGTTAAATGCCAGCCACCATGCCGAGAATAGTACTTGGGGCCTGGTGGACCATCGGAGCGTTTAGTAGTTAGAACGGGCCCTTGGGAGCATAGACTACGGCAGACCAGAACCAAACAAAGTCAAGACCCGACCAAACCCTTTTAATGACACCCTACCTGGACTTTGCAGTAACCAGGGAGAAAAAAGTATAGACTTTTGTTTCATAACGGTTTCTTCAAGGAACAGGTACCAACAAGTTGTCAAGTATGCTACTCCAAACCCAGGGTACACAAGCTTTAGCGGAGTTCTTGGGAAAGAAGTCGGCCTCGGGGTCGTCATGATGCTTCTCCTTCGGAGCCACCTCGAGCTTGATAAAGCTCTTGGCCTCAATGAGTTTGGGTTCTTGTTAAGGGGTTTGCTGTATGTTATCATAGTAGGGATCTATAGGAAATAATGATGGTTTTCTTATTATGGTACCTTACGTTAAAACTCTTAACAAGAACCCCATGAGTTTGTCCTCAAGTCTGGCTCTAGTGCAGGTGTTCATTCCCGTGTCGCATCCGGCCGGGATAATGCTTGTGGAACCTTACAGCAACCTGGATCGTCGAAACTTGCGCAGCTATGCATACACGTGTAGCAGCATGTTTCTGCACACATACCACTACTGCTTGACGTATCCGACTGCTTACTCCCTCATGTATGTACTGTGTGTATTATGCGTGTGTGCATGTTGTATGTACTGCATATGCATGTATGCATGCATGCATGAATGCATGCATGCACGTATGTATACGCACATCTTCACATAATATACATATACACACTTGCGAGACGTTTTGCCATTCTAATTCAGCAGTTCTGATCCCGCCGAATCCTCTTGAGATCTGGCACCATGAGCTCAAAGCCTCAACTGACAACTTGTGCCCGGGGTTGTGAGGTTAAAGCCCCACAACCTGAAAAGCGATACGTCGGAGTGGCATAATGTAGGAACCTGATTAAGAAACCGTAGCCGTAGCCTTTACTAGGGTCCTTTATATGAACCCTACTGTGTTGGGTTATAGGCCCAGGGTTTCTTAATCAGGTTCCTACATTATGTGCTTCAGTTGTATGCACTACAGCCTTCAATGCAGCCAAGCACTGTAAAAAGAAGAAACGAAATGCACTAAATCCTTATTCCTGTCTTTATCGTCCCTACTCATAACAAAGACCTTGAGCCAACAAACTCTGGCCAGTTCAACGCTTAACAAACCCAACGGTTAAAACGCACTAAACCCTATGAACCCCAAACCCAAAATCCAAACGCTAAGCGCTAAAGCTTGTGGAATCCTTATCGATCCCTCAAAGGAACCCTTCATAGGGCCCCCCAAAAAGCACATAAGCAAAAATGAGGATAGGGATATCCCACAAAAATCCCCTTATATAATGAAGCCCAATAAGGTAGGGATATCACTATAAAAGGCTTGTACTTAAGTGCGTTTTTGGCGTCCCTACTTAAACGAACCGACGCCCGAAAGCCCCTCTCGGCTCCCGGCACCGCAAAGGTCCTCGAAGTCCTCGCAGCAGTCGCTGAAGTCGCGGCAGCTGGCCGTGCACTGGCACCTCAGTGGCTTTGCAGGGGTTTAGGGCTTGGGTTCAGCTTTTTTGTTTTTGTTTTAAGGGTCCTTTTCCGTCTGCATTGTCTAGGTTTAGGGTTGAGGGTTTAGGGGTTGATGATACAAGGCCTGCATTACCTTATGACCCTAGACTATGGGAAATATGGTATTTTCCTCATTATGGGTATCGCAGGATTTACATCATCAGCCGTATCATATCATATGGGATCACACCCGTCCAGCTCAGACCTCATGAGAACCGTGTATGCAGACATAAAGAATTAGTCACTTGGCAAATACATGTAGGGCTTAAGGCCTAGGCTCATTAAGCTATGGAAACAAACTGTATGTGTGCGTACATGCGCGTGTATATATGAACGCAGACATACAACATGCGCTTGTGTTTGTTACTGGTTCATGTGTATGCATGTGTATCTATCTATATATATATACACATATTATGTGTATATTATGAACACACCTACGATGTCAGTACTCGCTAAAAACCTCCAAACATGTGTCCATGATGGTCATATTGCTGGGCCTTCCTCACGTTCACGTTCTTCCGTAAAGTCGTTCTGCCTTCACCCCCGAACCCCTTTGAAGGTCTTACACAAGGCAGGCACCACAAGGAACCTAAAAGGGTAGGTATCTTGTTGACAGACTACACCCCTGTCTGGCTGAGAGCCCTGCGAATTCTCCGGCTTGATAACGTTTAAACAGCCGTAATCTTTGCAGCTCCCCTCCTGTGGGCATCCCGAGTACACAGCTGAAGAGGGCTTCCTTCAAGCGGTTTCATATGGGTGGAGTTTCCTACGGGGTGGTGTGTAGGTTCCCTGTAGTTCCCCCCCCGCCCCCCAAAAAACAATCACACGTTTAGTTCCAAGCTCACCAACGTTTTAACACTCAACACCCGACACTCCAGAGGCTGAAAAGCTATAACCTACAAGCGGTTCCTACAAAAGGTTCGGATATATGTTGCTGAGGCTTCATGAATTTGGGCTGAACTATCGTGTAGAAACCCGTTATAAAACTGTGTGATTCTAAACCTAGGCAGGAATCCTCTTGACGGATCAGGGGACTTAGTGAGTAGTAGGATTATGGAGTCGTAAACCCGATTATGATCCCGCTTAGGGCACATACAACTTCAGTTTCTACCTACTTACGCAAGGTCTGGAACACCCTTCGACATTCTTGTGCCTTGGTCTTTTGTGAAATAGAACACACGGTAAAGGTGGTATCGAGATTTTGACAAAAGCCTCTAGGATCTACGGACTTGGATGCAAGGACGTAAGTTTTGGTACCAATGTTCTGCTGGGTTGGCTCCTATCTTCGCAGATGGGCTCGCCGAGAAGAGCTTATTATCGTTCTTGCCGCTACTAGTGAACACTAAACTTTCCCAGTCCTTAGAAGCACCAAACCATGAATCAAAAAGAGCTTAATGCATCAAATCATAACCCGCTGTTGAGTCGTGAAAGCTGCGCAGCGCAGAGAGCCGCATCCTCTAGAGCTTCTATACCATGCTGCGGAACTCTAATACCCTCAAACCTGTGTGGTACCCTGCAGCCCATATATGGCCCTCTATAAAGCAACGTCAACGTCAGAAGCTGCATTGTGCACGGAGACATCGACCCGTCACGTTCTCAGAATGGGTCTGTGGGCCTTTACCATCAGATCTTCAATGAATTCTGCACGAAGATTCCTCTCCCGACCCCTTTACACAAATCATCGGCCCTGCCTTGGGAGGGGCTGGCATCTCGGCTGCAAAATCCTGATCACAGAGCATGTTCATAAGCCAGGTTACTCAGTAACCCCTGAATAATACTAGGGGTACCCATTTTCCTGATACTCAGTTTTCAGAAGGAGGCCCCAAACCAGAGAGGGCAAAAGGTTACTACTCAGAAACCAAGAAAGATGTTTATCGGAATCCAAGAACCAAGCCTTGAACACTAAAGGCTTGAATCCCTAAACCCGAAGCAGTGAACCCGAAACTCTGAGAACCTACTGGAGTTCAGATGGGGTTTAGGGAACCACCCCGAAGCCCTGAACGGGGTGGAGTTCCGAGCTTTGGGGTTTAGGGGTGTAGGGTTTCAGGATACTCTCAAGACCCCATATAGGGCCCCAAAAAAGCACATAAGCAAAAAAACAAGATAGGGACATCCCACATAAACCCCGCTATAATGAAGCCCCATAAGGTAGGGATTTCCCTATAAAATGCTTATGCTTGTGTCCTTTTGGGGTCCCTAATTGATGGAGCCTTTGTCATACCCTTGCAGGAACCCTGAAGTTCCGGCATGGGGGATGAAATGCATCGTGTGGTGCAGGACTTTAGGGCTTGGAAGAAGGTTGGGCTGAGACTTCGGATGGGTTTAGGGTCAGCAAAGCCTTGGAAATGCTATGGGGCTTCATACTGTTTATGGACAAGATCCTGCATGACCTTAAGGACCCTAAACTATGGGAATTATGGTATATTCCTTCTTATGGGTAATGCAGGATTCTGTCCATCAACCGTATGGGCAGTCCTGTAAACTACGGTCCCATTTGGGATCCACAAAAGACGACCCGGAAAGGACAGGTTTCCGGACTAACTCTAGGAGGGTGCACAGGGGTCAGGGTTTGCTGTAGAGGCCTTAATAATTAGAGTAGGGTGTTGGTGTATTTTCTACTATTCATAATCAGGACACCCAAAAAACAATAAAAGTTAAGTATTCAGCCCCCGTTCAAATGGTTTAGGGGTTTGAGGTGTAGGGTGCTGCCCTAGAAGC